TTGGAACGATTTTACCAGATTCGGTGGGGGCCGCCAGACCCCCCTTAACCCGCTACCCCCTTTTGGTATACAAAATTTAATGTTTATGATTGTTAAAACCACAAAAATTTTAAGCTCTTTTTATATATTAAACTTTAAAATATAAAAAGAGGTTAAAATTTTAAAATTTAAAATTTTAAAATTTAAAGCACATTTTAATTTCAAATGTTATACTGACAATTCGTTAAATCCTAAAATTCATTATATTTTCTCACTAAATATAACGTCCTGCGGACTGAAATTTGCAGCTCGGTTTCAATTCGAAAATATCATCGATGATAATCATACCACTTGTTATATTATGGGTGATAATAATAGTATTGTTCTACAAGTAAAGAAAAGTGAGAATTTTACAGTGAGTGAAATAGGTTGATTTCACGAGCCTTGGCGAGTGAAACCAATTTTCACAAGCTGGAAAACTAACTTTTCTTACGAGTTGAACATGCTATTTTTTTGTATCCTTAATGGAAAAAGTGGAAAACTTAAGAATATTTTAACAAAAATTGTTTTTTACAATCTTTAACATAGTTGCTTATGAAAAGTAAACTGTAGATTCGCATGACAACAAATTAAATAAAAACAGAATTTTGTCAGAAGATGTTTTTGAAGAAAATGAGGGCATTTTGGATGCCGCGAGAGAAGCGACTCAAACTCTGCTTCCATCTAAGTAAAAAAAAATATGATTAAACTTTTGAACAATTCTGTCGATGGAGAAACAATCAAGGTGTCAGTGAAAATGTTATGCTAGCGTTTTTTTGGGAAAAGTTAGCTTCAGCTTCTAAAAAAAATCTAATTTTTTCTTGTATTTTTAGTCCAAAAATCTGAAGGCATCGTCACTGTGGTCAACATATTCGATCCTGAAGAGTACGTTGCAAATATATGAAGGCAGTGACATTTCAAAATTCAAGCAATCTATTGCATTTTTGAAAAAAACAGAATAAAGGATATATCCTTCATAATTTGTTCAAATGACAACATTATGAAGTTTCGACGCTTCGAATGAATCGTATCTATTTATGAAAGTGGCATTAAATTTTGCTTTAAATGGAGCAATGCGAGTGAAAGAATTACGAACACTAACAATTAACGATATTATCGTAACACTACGTAATACAAAAACGAAAAAGAAGCTAGATTTTACCATAACTTCGGAAGCGAACGAAATTGAGTTGTATCGGAAGTATCGTAAATTAAGGCCACAAAACACGAATCATTCCAGATTTGTTTGTTACCGGGATGGTAAATGCACTGTGCAACCGGTGGGGATCAACACATTTTATAGTTTGCCGAGAAAAATTGCTGATTATTTGAAGCTTCCTGATTCCAATAGCTACACAGGGCATTATATGCATTGCTAACGAGTCAAATGTGAGTATTAATTAAAGTGTTTCTAACTTTTCAAGTAATGCTAATAGTAAAATAAAACTTTTCTTTATTATATAGCTAATCAAATGGCTGTTTTCCATTAAGGATACAAAATTAATTTTCACATTTTGTATTATTTTACAAGAAATTTTAACGATTGTATGACATTTGACAACTGCCAACTTACTTAAAACCAACTTAAGCCCGTGACTAAAAACCTGTACTATTCTAAGGCATTTTTAGCATTATACAGGGTGTCTATAATAATAATCCGATAACCATGAAATAATAAGACTTTTATAGTAGCATTTTTTAATTTAGACCATTATGTTTGATATACACAGAGCTGACCACGAGTACTCAAAAAAGTATTCTTAAAATTTTAAGTACGAGTACTTCAAATATTTACTCGTACTTGAGAGAGGTTACGGTTACGAGTAGTAATAGTGAAAACACTAGTAAAGAGTACGAGTACTTAAAAAAATTGTTAGTTAATATAATTGGCACTTAAAATAAAAAAATATAGGGGGGCGACATTATTAGGGATTACACTGTACAATGTACAGTGTACATAAAATAATAAATAAAAATAACAATTCTTAAATAGTTTATAATTTTACCGATATACTTGTTATAAAACCTATAGGCTATAATATGTACATATATTGTTTGGAAGTGTGTTTTAAATTATATAATTTATAGTATAATATAATACACTTCCAAACAAAATGTTTTGATGCTTACGATATTTTGGCAAAAAGGCATCGATATAATAAACGGAAATACTCGTATATATTACTCGTGAATTCCACGAGTATTTTTGTAGTACATTGAATTTGGTTTGTATACTTATAAGTACGAGTAATAAGTATTTCAAATGAAAAATACTTATGAGTAAAAAAGTACTCGTACTTTTTTACTCGTAATTAAAATACGAGTAAAAGTACTTAGTACTTGGCCAGCTCTGGATATACAGGGCGTGCCCGGGCGTTTAAAATTTAAAACTGATTTATTTTTAATAATTCGTGTAGATATTATGTTCAAATTTGAAACATTGCTTCAACATAAATAGTTTCATCCTTTGATTAAAACAAAACAAAAAAAAATATTTTTTTATTAATATTGATTATTTTATGTAAAATGGAATCCCTATAGGTTTAAAGTCTTAATAGGAAGTGGGTAGCAATACATAAATTTTGTTCGAAAAAAACAAATTTTTTATGCAAATTGATAATTGGGTTCAGCATGTCGCTGAGCCCACGCATAACGAAACAAAAAGCACAAAACACGCAACAACCCACCGTCAATGAAAGCTGCTTTTAGGGTCCGGACGACACACATCAAAACAATACGCCAACGCAATATATATATATATATATATATATATATATATATATATATATATATTGTATAATATATATTTGCTTTAACTATATTTAGAGTAATTTTAAGTATTCCATGAAAACTACTTACTATACAAAAAAATTCCGATACCATCATTGAAAAAACATTTTTTAATATCTCCCCAAAAACAATTTTCATTTATTCCAAACCTCCAAACTCTCCAAAACTTTACCAGCAACTTTTCAAACAGAAACAGCTGCATCGCTACATTTTATGTATCGTATTTCTTATCAACGCTATACAAGGTGTTTTTTTTAATAAAAAAGTCATTACAATTTTTTTGAGTAAAGTAGAAATTTTGGGCCGCCCTCTTTGTTTCTGACCTATGACAACTGACGCAAAATGTGCTTGCACAGTGGGCAATAATCTACATTCATTAAAAATTTACATTTGTGTTATCATTGATTACTTTGTTGATAACTGTTTTTTATTTTGCATACCCAGCTATTTTTAGGTACTTTGAATAAAACAATTGTTACTTTTTAATGTTAGGTATATCGACCTTTCCGTGGTATCCCGTCGATTTTAAATTTTACCTTTCACGTTTTACGTCGATTGATGCTCATGTAGCTATTTTTTAAGTGTTCCACAAAATCATAATAAATGTTCAACTATCCCGCCGTTATAATCCACACAAAGTTGAACGCGGCGTAGAAAATTATGATGTGTCGCTCTTGCTATCATATCCGGGTGATTTCGGATTTTATCTGCCGCTGCAGTTCGCGGGATTGTTCTAATTTGTCAACCAGAGTTGGGAGTACTGAGTATTTTTTTTAATGGATTATGCTATCATTACTAATTATTACTTGATTTTATAATTGTAATGAGAGAAAAATATTGAGTACTTTTTATTTTTACTTTACCAATTTGATAATTACAATTCTTTTTTTATTTTGTAATTATAATCAGAGAAAATATCAAGTACTTTTTAAATTTAACTTAAAATGTTTACTGATTCTAAATATTTTTTTATTTTATTTGATAATTTGATAATTACCATTTTTTTTTTATTTTGTAATTATAATCAGAGAAAATATCAAGTACTTTTTATTTTAACCTAAAATGTTTACTGATTCTAAATATTTTTTTATTTTATAATTAAAAAATAATAAAGAACAGAATACATTATATATATTTTTTTTTTATTATTTGAATAGAATGGTGAATAAGGATACTTCCGTGCTTGTTTATGTTTTTATTGCGACTAGTTTCGATCTATATTAGATCATCTTCAGGCAAACTACAAAAATATGTAAAATTATTATAAGGTTATGTTAACCACAGAACATAAGATGTTAACATAATAATGATAAAATTAACGCCGTGTCTAGAGTCCCGTCAGACGGTTCCCTATTGCGCTCCCGTTAACAGAGTGACGTCATCCAATGACGCAATCTTAGGACGGGAAGCAGATATTTTTTCCTTAACTAACGTCCCGAGTCCGCCCGCTTCGAAACCAACCCAAACCAAACAACCCAACCCAACCGACCCCGTATATACAGTATTTATAATTATTAATTAGATTTTGTTTTTTATTTTCAGTCGGTCCCGTTAAAAAATACTTCGTACTTGTATTTTCATTTATATTTTAAGTACAATCAATTTTTTACTTTGACTTTAAACTTTTTGCATTACTAAGTACTAAAAAATATTATTTATTCAAATTAATAAGTACAATTATTTTTGTATTTTTACTTTAAATCAATTTAGAGTAAAAAATACAATGTATTGATAATTTTTATTTTCTCCATTCTCAAGTAATTTAAATATTCTAATGGCAATACTTTTTAAGTACAAATTATTTTTGTATTTTTACTTTAAATCAATTTAGAGTAAAAAATACAATGTATTGATAATTTTTATTTTCTCCATTCTCAAGTAACTTAAATATTCTAATGGCAATACTTTTTAAGTACAAATCTCGCAACTCTGTTGTCAACTTTGCTCTGGTACAAAGTACCTACCTACTAACGGTTTTGAATAAATTTAAAAGTTTGATTGATATTACATTATACACTGTTCACACCTGTTTCTTTTTTGCTTGGATGAATAATTTCATTGTTTTTAGAGGTAAACAGTAGCTCTTATGCAAAAATGATATGTCTTTTGTATGGCTTTTTTATAAAATAAGGTTTGCGTTAATTTTTTTCATTCTTCTCAAAATACCCTGTAGATTTTTTAAATTTCCCTACCTTGTTAGATCTGAGGGTGACTTTGCCTCCGCACCTAGCGCAACATCTGATCGAACAGTAGTTGCAAAGATGGCCAACGCCGTCCGCAAATTTGGTCTTCAGGCAGATGTGACAGGTGGCGTCCAACTCGATGCCAGCCTTCTTGTGTTGTTCGTTGCGGGCCCTGATCGTGTCCTCCAGGATTTGAACCTCGTCAGCCTTTCTTCTGCAATTCGCAATAAAAACACATTTTTAGAAATACATTATTTCATTAGATCACTACTAGATGTAAAAACTTTTAGTTGAGCGTATCTGTCTCTTAAGCGTTCTCCAAATATTTCGAAGTATTTAAATATGGACCATTTAACGGAAATACATAGAAATGAAGTTTTAATTCTCACAGGATGTGGCAATAAAAAAAATTATATATAGGAAAAAAAATTAAATATAGGAAAAAACCGGTTTTTTTACGATTATTAATATTTCGTAAAAATTGTATTGTTTTACTAAAGAACACTCGATAAACTTGACGAAAAATATGATATTTCATGTTTTTGAGGCAATATTTCGTGATAGAGTATGAAAAACTATAAAAGTCATCATTTACTATTTGAAGTTGAACTTTAACCTCAAATAACTTTTAAAAGAGTCGACTATGCAAAAAAACACATCAGATCTTTTTTGTAGATGGTTCAATTTCCTATAAGAATATGTATTGATATCTACAACTCACTGATTCGTTAAAACGCAATAAAATTCCAAACAAAAAAATATATTTTTCCCGTGTTATTTAAATGGAAAATAAAAAAGATGAGCCACCTCTTAATATTGATATTAAGAGCTCAAACTTTATCAGAATTTTTTTTTGTCATCTTGGACGATATTTTCATGGTAGCTAAAAAAAAGAAAATTAAAAGTTTTTTTGGCCCACCCTAATAATAATGCTTATTTTTTTTTACCCAAGCATCTTATTTTAGGATGCCTTATGTGAATTGATTATACAAGGTGTCTCTAAACTTATTGGCATAAATTTAGAAAAAGATTGAGTAAGTCAAAATTAGACGAAAACCCAAATAAATATTTTTCCTAATTACTTATGTTTCCAAGATACAGGGTGATAAAGTGTTACTTATCATATCAGTTTTTTTAATATAACCTCTACTATGGTAGTCTTGGAAAGGTGATATTTTGCGAACAGTCACTTACTACCAAAACACATATTCACACATAATTATAATTGTTTGAGTGAATACAGTGTCGTAGAAACGGGGGTTGCTTTAAGCTTATTGTCCCATACAAACTTTGAGGTTAGGTTTTTATAACATTTGATGCACTTTTTAGATTACACAGTTCGGCTACCATTAAAAAGGTGTACCTCTTAAACTTCGATAAAATAAACCGTTTCCGAGATATTCGAGATTACAATAATTGTTATATCGCATTATTTAAAAGGATTAAAAGGTATATAATAACAAATTTTATTTTTTAATTGAAAAAACTAAAAAGAGCATTCCATGAGCCTCGGGACTTTTTGCCCTGACCGTCAAATTAAAAAAATTGTAGTTTTTTCCATTTAAAAAATGTGTTATCATATACCTTCTAGTCCTTTAATGCGATATAACAATTATTTTAATCTCGAATATCTCGGAAACGGTTTATTTTATCGAAGTTGGAGAGGTACACCTTTTTAATAGTAGCAAAACTGAGTAATCGAAAAATTGCATCAAATGGTATAAAAACCTAACCTCAAAGTTTGTATAGGACAATAAGCTTAAGCAACCCCTGTTTCTACGACACTGTGTTCTCTCAAACAATTGTAATTATGTGTAAATATGTGTTTTGGTAGTAAGTGACTGTTCGCAAAATATCACCTTTCCAAGTCTTCCATAGTAGAAGTTATATTAAAAAACTGATATGATAAGTAACACTTTATCACCCTGTATTTTTTAAACATACGTAATTAGGAAAAATATTTATTTAGATTTTCGTCTTATTTTGACTTGCTTAATCTGCTCCTAAATTTATGCCACTAAGTTTAGCCCACACGGAACAATTACATCCAATGGATATCCAATGGATTTCTTTTATGGATATCCAGGATATACATAGGATATCCGGGATATCCAATGGATAACCATTGGATATATAAATGTCCGACCCTCCTGGACATAGTGTGGATATCCAATGGATACCCAGTGGATATAGTATTGTATGCAATAAGGTTGTAATCTGTATTCAATATGGAGATTGTATGGATATCCAATGGATAACCATTGGATATATAAATGTCCGACCCTCCTGGACATAGTGTGGATATCCAATGGATACCCAGTGGATATAGTATTGTATGCAATATGGTTGTCATCTGTATTGGATATGGTGAATCAATGGATATTTACTTTTTAATAAATAACATTGGGTTTTAAAATAAAAGTCTTATTCTTTAATTTAAATATTTATTTTTATGAAAACATAAAAAAGAACAGAAAACTACATATATGTATATTATATATAACTAAAGAAGTGAAGTCTCTGGCTTGCCATCACTCCTCCACCTGTCATTTGCCTTTTTATCAGCCTAATCATTTAGGGCCTATTTCACCTGTCTCCTTATGATCCCCAAAATTTGGCCAATCCATCAGCCCATTTGTTACCCTCGAGCCTATGTATAGCTTACAAATAAAGGTACGGTATATAAATGCATGCATGTATTCACCTTTAATGTTTTACCTTCAATGCTAACCGAAAGTTTATAAATTGCACTTAAATATACCTACCTATTTAATTTAAAATTGTATTAGTTTTAGACCAATACAATTTAAAATGATAACTATGATTAGAAAATTAATAAAATATTCACTTACCACTATAAACCTCAAACAAATAACCACAAAACACTAACTTGGCAATAAACTTTATGACAAACATATAACAAATAGCAATGATGGCGAATGAACCTTTACAATCTGTGGAATGAAGCAAATAAACATGAAAACCCTTTGCATGTACCTAACAATCATGGCATCATATTTAACGGACGCTACCATAGAAAAAGGACGCTTCTTTATCTTCTGTGTTCGCCGGCAGTGTTGTCAGACGTTTAAATAATTTCAGAAAGCTCATCAAAATGGCGGTTATATTATTAAATCTTTAATACTTAATTAATTAGTATACCTAGTATACCTATTTGACATAAATGTGGTGAATAATTATTTTAAATTTATTTAATTTATTTATTAAAACTTAATAAAGTACGGAAATATATTTCGTTTAGTTATTTTGCTTATAACCGGCAACACTGAAGATTCTCAAATTCAGCGCGTGCGTAGTACTATGAAATACAATAATAAACAAAAGGGACTTTTTTAAGTAATTTTTTATTGTATTGCAGACTGTCATAGTCATATTATTAACAGAAATAATATTATTAATATATAAATATTATTATCTGGGTAAAGTGAACAATTCAAAATTAAAAATTTCGTAGCTCTTGGCAAAAAATCAATTTACCGTAAAGTTGTTTTTTTTACATATGCTAGTTTAAACCATCACAAAATCCCACATGTATACATACAAGTATATATACAAGATATCCATATCAGTTATCCACCGGATATCCAGTGGATATCCAGTGGATATCCAGTGGATATACATTAGATGTACAGTGGATATACTTTGGACATACATTAGTTATCCATTGGATATATATTAGAGATACTTTGTTGAAATTGGGTTAATAACGATTTAAATCATATTTATTAATCATTACATAAATTTATCCTATAAGGGGCTATTTTAAAAAAGAAAAAAATATTTTTAATGTTTTTGTTTTTTTTTGAACATCCAGTATGGATATCCATTGGATATCCAGTGGATATACATTAGATGTACAGTGGATATACTTTGGACATACATTAGTTATCCATTGGATTATCCAATATATTATATATTAGAGATACTTTGTTGAAATTGGGTTAATAACGATTTAAATCATATTTATTAATCATTACATACATTTATCCTATAAGGGGCTATTTTAAAAAAGAAAAAAATATTTTTAATGTTTTTGTTTTTTTTTTGAACATCCAGTATGGATATCCATTGGATATCCAATGGATATCGTAAAAGGCATGGATGTTATATGGACATTGGGATAGCCATTGGATATCCATTGGATAGCGTGTTCTGTGTGGGAGGGACACCTTGTATAACAACCGTTTTTGTATGTGTAATAATATGTCGGCTTATTAGAGACATAGCGTTGCCAAATGATAGAAACGCATAAACTTCCAGTCAGAAATAAAACTGAAATTTAAATCATGTGGTATAACGCCATTGTCATCAAATTTAAAATATATATACAAAAAACTAAAATTTTTAATGAAAAATAATGAAATATGATAATTTAGATCATAAAAGGTATTTTACGCATTTTGCCAATACATGATTAACCCGGTGCATCCACCATTTTTCGTTTTTTATTATTTAAATGTTATATTAGGCCCTATGAGGAAATTTTGAAAAAATTCTAGGTTGTTGTAGAGTCCACTTAAAAGTTTTAGAAATATTGACGGTCTAAAAAAATATTAAAATTGCTAAGACTACACGCGATGTTATCGTTTCTTATAGGGACTGCCTGTAGAAGTGCAATATAAATTCAACAGAAGTTTTCAGGTATTAAACAGTGATTTTTTCTATAAAATCGAAAAATATCTTAATATTTACAATTTTTGGACTAAGTCGGTTTTTATTCTACATCCTTTAATTTGATTTTGATAAAAAATAATTTAAAAAATATATTTTTATGAATAATATATGTACATATGCTCAACACTTGCTATGTTTTTTATTAAAAAGCGGTAGTCATAAAAATTCATAGAGTTTTAAAAATTCAACAAGATTTTTCCTTGCCAAACTTTTAATAATTAATACTGCAAACATTTTCAACCAAACTACATTTAATTAAAGTTAACTTACTCATGAATTCTCGATATTTTTAAAAACTCCATTTTCTCTTCTTATAATTGTATTGACAGCACAATACAGAAAATACTAATAATAATTTTCACCTTTGCTCGGTGGTTGCAAACTTTTTAAATTCCCTTAATACAATTAAAAAGTATCGAACCACACAATTAGATTAGAAAATCGCATCTATAAGGTTATTGCATTGACTTTGAGCTAAAAACCAGCAGTAGTTCAAAGTGATCACGGAAAGTGCAGTGATTAAAGATTAAATGAAGTGCTGAAGTAGTTAAGTGAGAATGTGTAGATATTTTGTACAGGTATCTACGTTATAGGTTAATGTAATATTCTAGTAAGGTACATATTGGGTGATTCTACAAAAGTTGGACAACTTGATGTCATCACTCAATAGAGTAGGTATTTTAGTATTTTTTGTAAATATTTTAGTATATTACAAAAGATCCAGGTTTTTTTAACTTGTCCACCCAATTTTAATGTATTTCTTCAAAAGCACGTTCGTAGAAAAACATAATAAATATTCAAAACATCAGTTCCTTGGAGTGTCACAACTCCTGAATCAAATATTTGAATGATTTTATTTTAAAATATATTAAATTTATCTTAAATTTTCAATTTCACTACAAACTATAAAACATTAAATAATGTATTTTTCATATTTTATCATGGATTCGAATAATAGCAATTTTTAAAAAATTGATAATCTTTGTACTCACTTTTGGCCGTCAGTTCTATGTCCAATGTTAAAATTCAATATTCCTGCGAAATATTGAAGTTTTAACTCAAGTGTTGGTAAAAAATTACCTACAGAGCCCGCCCTTTGCACGACAGTCATCTTGAAAACAATGCAAGCGGCGAAGTTGTGGTGAATGCACGTATAGTTCCAGTCAAAATTTCAGTACTGTGGTGAGTAGTTATTTTCTTATATGTGAATAAAAAATATCAGTAAAATACTTAATTCCGAATTATAATCTCAAATTTGTATCCCATTCATCAGTACAGTGTCGTCAGTTCCATGTTCGATGTTTCGGTTATCTTTTTTTCGCAAGTTTCAATTTAAATTCTGCTTGCGCAGAACTTGTTTATTTGATGTCATTATGAACTCATATAAATTTGGTGTGGGTCCCATATCTAATAATTGAGATAACGGTATACCCAAAATCCACCAGCCGCCACTGATGCGTGGAATTATTTGATTTTAAGATATTTAATGCATAATATGCTCAAACTTGCAATAAATTTTATATTTTCCAAATTATGTATTTAATTAGTACCATGGTATACTCGTCACTTCCCTTGCATTCAAATTTAGAAAACACAGATATTTCAGAAACTGTTTGAGAAAGTGACTGGCCCGGTCTGGAACAGTATATTTGTTATATTATCTATGTTCTCATAACAAAATCTGTTTAATTTTCTCCGAAAACTATATAAACAAAATGAGGTCAAAAGTTGCCCAACTTTTGTAGAATCACCCATATATGCAGTGTGGTTCACACTTATAAAATGAAAAATTTAAAAATAAACCACAAAAAGTGCTTAATGTGGTGGGGATAAAATGGTGGGGAAAAAATTTAAAATTATAATTACCGTTTTAAAATAAAAAACTATATATATAATATACATTTAGGATGTTTTCAGAGAGGTATAAGAATGTACTTTGCAAAATTCCAATGACCAATTTGTAAAAACTATTAAACAAAGCATACAACTAATTTCTTTCCAAATTTACTTATTTTTCCGAGCAGCAATTATAATTAAAAGTCAAAGCAATTGAAAGGGGTTGAAAATTTAATTAAAACAGCACTCTCCGATTGTTCGAAAATTAAAACAATATCCTTACAAGTCCGGTGCATGTTTTTAATAATCCCGCTACCTGAGTTTGCATAGGCCAATTGAGCGTGCCAATTTAATATGCAACCGATTTTTTACACACGGACACCTTTTAATTGTTTTAATTAAGTTTTGGTAGGTAACTTTTACATTTACTAGTTATATGTGCGAATTTTCGTTAAATGTACATTTTGTATGTATATTTTGTCCAGGCAGGTCAATTTGATCGATTTTTTTTCCTTTGTGATAGAACAGTGTAATAGACTGCAAAAAATTTTATACGTTTATAAATAACAAAAATAAACTTTAAAGAAATAAAACTTATAGGGTTAATCTGAAATAGGAAAGGAACACAAGGAAGAAATGAAACATTGTCCCCCTCCTAACGCATCTTCCTTAACGTTTGCTTTTGACTTTTTCAAACGTTATTTTTCAGAAATACTGTTAAATGTAAATATCTTTCGGCATTTGTTTGGCATTTCTACTATGCTATAATACAAAATGAAATAAAAAAGGTAACTTCTAAAACAAGAGTTGTATGTAGCATTTTGTAAAAGAAACCAAAAAGTGTACGCAAAAAAAATTAACCCTTAAAATATTTCCAAAAAAATTCACACACTATACACGTGCTCACTTGTTGTTGCCGAACTATCAAACTGGATGCCCTCTAGAAATAAACCGCTAGTATCTCTATCTCGTCTCTCTATTTCGAAGCAGTCGGCATAGAAGACGACGTTAGGAAAAAGACAAGATTTTTGAATGTCAACTTTAATATTTTTTTCTGTTTAAACTACTTTGTAGAATGCTATTTTAATTTTATATACGAATAAAAGAACTTTCCATTGTTCAAAAATAATTTATTTTTTCAGAAGAAAGCTGAGAAGAAGAAGAATATAATAATTTAAATTAAAAAATCGCCTCTGGGAACAGTTAGGTTACAGGACATTTCACCTAGTTTTTCTGCAATATATAGAAACACAAAGTAATTAAAAAAAATACGATGGGTCCTAACAGGAAGGGGGTATTTAAATATAATAAATACAAAACTTATCAACAAAAGTCAAAAATAAAATTAGCTGGGAATAGCAAATGTACATTTAACGAAAATTTGCCCATATGTCGCACTTGCTATTTTTATTTTATTAAAAGTTTGCATAAATATAGGGCATTGCATTATTTTATTTTGACATTAACGTGATTTAGTTGGTTAAAACCAAAGTTACTATATATTGAATAAAAATATTTTATTTCAAGGTCAAACTTCTTTAGATAATTATTGTTTTTTGTTATTCTAACATATATTTTAAAACAATATTCACTACTAGATGTAAAAACTTTTAGTTGAGCGTTCAGTGAAGTATCTGTCTCTTAAGCGTTCTCCAAGTATTTAAATATGGGCCATTTAACGGAAACACAGAATTGAAGTTTTAATTCTCATAGGATGTGGCAATAAAACTAAAACACAACACGAAGTTTGCAACTTATTTAATGCAAAGTATCCAGCTCGACCTATTACTCCTGCTACGGTTAGTTAGATTAAACGGAATTTCAGAGAGACTGGACATGTCAAAGATATCCCAAAACCTGGCCGTACGAGTATTAGTGACGACACTAAAATTGACATTTTGTTACGTGCGGAAGAAGATCCTCACAGTGCCTCTAGCCTAGTCGCAGCTGAAAGTCAAGACCATTCAAATTAGACTAGTGCAGGAACTTAACGAAGATGATCCGGACCGTAGACTAAAATTTTGTAAAACTATGATGAATTTATGTAACAATGATTCACACTTTCCTCGTAAAATACTTTTTTCGGACGAAGCTACCTTCTGTTTGAATGGTACAGTCAAGCGTCTAAATTGTAGGTACTGGAGCAGAGAAAATCCTCATTGGGTAGTAGAGGCAAATTCCCAATACCGGCAAAAAGTGAATGTCTGGGCAGAAATCGTGGAAAATCGGATCATAGGTTCTTTTTTGACGAGAATATGACAGGACAAACGTATTTATTTTTTTAATATATAATTGTTCTAATTTTAAAATTTAAAGAAATGGCGAATGCTCCGGTATTAAAAATAGTTATTACTGACACAAAAAATTAGTCTTTTTGTGCTGAAATCAAAGTTTCAATTGAGCAAAGTACATACATATACAACATTGTATCTTTAAGGCGTAATTTTATTTGTTAAACAATACATAAAAAGTGAGGTTAGATTAGATCTGACAGTAGTCGAATTTTTTAGTCCAAACGATTTTTTTACAGACTAGGAAGTTAAAAACTTTACCAGATTGGTCTAAATTATTTTTACAGCCTGGAGTGTTTTGATTGGACATTGGCAATATGTCCCTAATGTTTATATTGACACTATTATGTATATCTATTACAAACACCATAAATATTGATTTGTATACATATTTTTTTAAGTAAACCACAATTTCTTTTCTTAATTATCATGTCTACTGATTTGGTATGGTATGGTTAAATGTAAGAATGAATTGTTACATTTTTAATGTTTAAATTCAAATCCTGTAATTTGAAATAGTGTATTTCCTTATTTCAATAAAGACGTTTATTATTATTATTATATGTAGCTATACACCTACTCACTAAAATATTTCACCGTTTAAAAGGTATTATTGTTTTATTACCAGAATGTATACTTTTATTTTATTATACATATATTTTAAGGAGTTTATTATGTTTTGGTATTGGAAAAGTTTGGGTTGTATTTACTATATGTTATGTGTAGTTTTTGGCAAGGTAGGTATATCGCGTACGATTCAAGCTTATTGCTGAAAATATTGATGCAAAAGTTCAAAGAACGCATGGATGTTATTTTCTCATTGTCAACTGTCAAACGGATCGAAGGACTCAAAATTATATATATATGCTTAGCTATGATATAAATAGTAAAAATAATGATGTTGATAGATGTTGATAGATGTTTACCTCATAATCTCCTGCTCGCGCTCTTCCTCCTGTTTTTGCCTGACCATAACAGACTCAATTATGGCCCGCTCCTCAGGAGTCAAGTGGCTTAAATCGGGCCCTTCTTCCATTCTATCCGTTATCGGACATTACAGCCTGTTAAACGCGATCCAGGAGGCCTATCCAAGCGACTTGATCTCCGTACGCGAACTGAGTTCCACCATTTTTCCACACTACTACGGTCGGCTGCCGAAACGGGGAGAAAACCAGGCGTAACGATCTGCACTCTATGCGACGCGCGTGAAGTGTTTCACACTGACGATGTCGGCCCCTTTTCGCGATAAATAGTATTTCGGCCCGCGACAGACCTATATCACAGTTAGAATTTTATCCATTCATACAATTTTAATAAATAATAGGATGAGTTCTTGGCCGGCCAATGGGAAGGCTCGGGCCGCGTGACGTAATCTGCGGAGATTATTGATCGCCGACGCGAAAGATGCGCTGTCACTTTTTGGGAGCTGATATTGCAGGGATCTAGTCGCTTCTGGCTGCCAGGGCTGTCCTCGTATTGGCGCATATGTCCGATCCCACTCTGTGAGACGGTTTAGGCGCTAACGCGGAAATTTGAAGCTGCAGCTGGGATTCGAATTTCAACTGAAAGTGTGAAATGCATTTAAACAGAATATTTAGTTTGTCTAAAAACAGTTTTTCTTGGTTTTTTTAAACCTTTAGGTAGATTATGGGTATTTTAAGAGTTTAAATTGACTATAAATAAACCAAATATTTAACTAGTAACAGTGATGGCTGGTGCATTTTGCATATGGGACCCACACCAAATTGTTTATTTAGTGTCATTTTAAACTAATATTCAGTTTTGCGCAAGCTTAAATAAAAGTTTGCGAAAAAAATATGGTTTTTGCTCTGCACCCTGCAGCCTGGCCCCCCTAATAAAGATAATACAAATACAAAAAAAAATGGTATAAAATCTGTAAATAAATTTTGAAATTTGTTGATGAACTATGGGTAAATTATAAATTGCACCACTAAAATTTGTATTTTCTTTATTAGGGGGGGCAGGCTGCAGGGTAGGCGTATCTTTTTTTTGGACTTTTATTTAATTTAGTGTCATTACCTATAAACTTATATAAATTTGGTGTGGGTCCCATGTATTCTTTTTTACATTACTCATTTTTAATTTGTAATGAGTAACCAGATAACATTATGAGGTTCATAATTGACGCATATTGCAGTCACAACGTGATTGTAATCCGCATGTATGCACGCATATATGCATCATTTGCGCCATCACTTGAGGTTAATATAGCCAGCACATGTGATGGTTAGAGAAACATTGTGAGGTTCATAATTTACCAATATTGCAGTCACAACGTGATTCTTAATCGGCACGTTTGTCACATATATGCATCATTTGCGTCATATAACCAGCACATGGGATGGTTAAAGAAATTTTTCTGGGCATGATTAACAGGTGAATTTTGGACTTGAATTGACTTAATTTTATTGTTTTTTTTACGATTAGTAATTTTCTTTAATTGTCTTCAGTTATTACCTGAAGACCATAGAGATAATACTAATCGAAACGTTGTAAGATAAACATTCAAATTAAGACAAGGCAAGTCCAAAACTCAGCTGTTAATCATTCATAAAATTGATTTATTGCGAAATTTTGGTCAATAAGTAATAATCCAAAAGATATTATTCTTTAAGTAATTTTTTTAGTTTTTGTGACAATTGTCTACATTTATAGAAAAATATCTTATTTTAATTAAAATTAGGTACATTTTTACAAATTCATAAATAAATTAATGATAAATTAATTTATAAATGTGATCTTAAGATTAACGTGTTAACTTGTTGATCTTAAGATTAATTCCAATTTGGAATTCCAAATAAAATTATGTACCTATATTTTTTATACAAATGTAGTCTACAAATTTAGTCTTTACAAATCCAGTCAATTTTTGGAAACTTTTAGTTATAATATGAAGTAAAATCAACAATTTTCGCAAGATGTAGTGTAGTATTCCATCTAAAATTTTACGATAACTATTTAGCAAAAGTGAAAAGTTTGCAATCATTTCGCGCCCTCATATGCCAATCACGTGCATGTACTCCCATTAATCAAAAAATGAATATCATATCGCAGCGTTTTTACCATCACGCATGATTCCGCACGACGTGAAGGCGATGTGCGTGTTGATGCCCCTCACGGTTGATATCTGGGTATTTTGAAATTTTCAATTATAATTTTTTATGTTAATGTACTCACTTTACATTACGATTTTTTTTATTTTTAATGAGAAATGAATGATTATAATCATCGAATTACTCATTTTTAGTGGGCAAGGAATATATTTTTATTGCATGACACATTTTTTTTAATTTTTGTATTATCATAATCCCACTATCAACCCCGGCTTAAAATTTCTTGAGTGGGTAAAAGTTTAACTTTAAAAATGTGTAAGGAAATCCAAGAATACAAACAGTTTGAAAATTAAAATTTTAAAAGTCAAAATTCGCATGAAAATATGCTTTGGATAATTTTGATACAAGAAAATTTTAAGAAATAAAAATTTTAATTCGAACCATTATTAAAAAAATAGCAGCAAAAAAAACAAAAAAGCGATGGTTTTTAAAATATGATATCTTTTGAACAAACTTTACCAGAAAGGGATTTTTAATGGGTACTTTTTTCAAACTGTCAGACTTGGTGTAAAATGCCCCATATAAAAAATCACCCCGTCAACCCATCCCCTGATCATTTTTCACTGATGTAATCTCTTTTTTTACACATTTTTTTTAATGTGTAATGTACGGTCTCTCATTACTTTCTAAAGTGTAATAAAAAGGGTAAAATAAACCAAAAACTACCAAATATTTAACTATTTAACATAACGTTAATTAAATTCAGGTGGCAGATCTATAAATTTGGTATTGATTTACCTAGGTTACCTAGGCTAGGTATATAAAAAAAATTGTGTTTTTTTGTAAGGTACCTACGTTAACCTTATTTCAGTAATATTTATAATAAATACCTTAAATTTAATCCCGACGCATTCGCCAATTTTGCAAAAAAATACAACCTCATTAAGCAGTGGCGTAAGTACAACTGGGGCCAGTTATGCAGAAAGCTACCAACCCACTAAAAAATTGTTTTGTGTTAATTAGGATTCAAGTTTTATAGTAGAGTTATATTAAATAGCAATAAATAATAATGAATAGTTTTTAATGATAGATGAGGTACTTAACATCTTGATAAAACGGATTAAATGCGTATAAATTCATATAAATTAAGTACCTAACTATATTTTATGATGGTGATTTTTAAGACTATGTGTTAAAATAGGATATAAAATAAAATTAATCTTTTTTTCTGTTACTATACAAAATAACCAATTTTTCTTAATTTGTGGGTTGGTTGCTTTCTGCAGAAATACGTCCAACTATAACCATAACAACTAAATAAGTATGTATGTAGGTACAGGGTGATCCCCTTAACTTTTTTTATTTTAAGTGTCCCAAAAAATTCAAAAGTGTGGTTATGTAGGTAATAAAAAATACTTTTTTTCCACGTATAAAGAAAATTGGAAAATTGATCAGTATACCGGGAAAAACAAAAAGATTATTTTTTTTTCAATGGATCACCCTATATATGAATTTATTTTTCGATTCCTTGTAAAATTCTGAGCATAATTTATATAACAAATCATATACCTAAATTCAACGGTTTCAGAAATATTCGCATTCGAAATGTTATCATTAAATGTTTTTTAAACTGTTAGAAATCAAGAAGCCTCAGTATACCAAAATTTTTATTGAAAATAAATTACTATAGTGACATTATGTCAATATGTCTTGTTAAATAAGTAAAAATGGCGTACTCAGAGAAAGACAAACTACCTATTTCATTTTATTATCTTAAAAATAACTTAAATATTTCAGAAACGGTTGAATTTAGGTATATGGTATGTTATATGAAATATGCTTAGAATTTTCGAATCGAAAAATAAATACTTATATAGGGCGATCCATTCAAAAAAATAAACTTTTTGGTTTTCCCTGTATACCTACTAATCAATTTTCGTAGAAAAAAAGTATTTTTTAGTATACTAAAAAATACTTATACCTACATAACCACACTTTTAAATTTTTTGGGACCCCTAAAATAAAAAAGTTAAAGGGGGGCGACATTATAGGGGATCACCCTGTACTTTTTCTCATAAAAAAAAAACTTAAAAAGTAGAATACCTAGTATATTATGTATCGAGTTTAATTAAGGCAATTTTGTCCACGAATTTTAATTAGGCACGAGAGAGCTTGCAAGCGAGTGTTTAATTAAATGAGTGCCTAGAAAAGTTTATAAACGAGTTGCTACTATACTGTTTCTACGACAAATACTTAATATTATCTAAAAATGATTTAAATTAAATATTTGAACAGAGCGATATCTATAAAACAATAGAGTAGTTCAAGTTAGTAACCTGGGAATCTGTATTACCGGCGCCTGTCAAAATGTCAAATTTATATGTATGTGTAAATTGAAAATGGACTAAACACCGGTGAAATCCGATATATAAGCAGTTTTTTACGGTAAAAGTGAAGTGAATGTTTTATGGGCACTACACGAAATTTTTAATAAACTTTTTAATTACTGGCGTTAAAAAACTATTTAATACTTTCGTATTTTTGTATTGAGACAATACAATATTTTTTACATTTAGTATTATTTCAGAGGAAGGGCACTTTATTTTAACGATTGTATGACATTTGACAACTGTCAACTAACTTAAAAACTATAGTTACCTATAACTTCAGACCGTGACTAAAGCGCCATAAAACTTGACAATGTGTATTTAAAAGGTCACTTAGTGTCATGGAAACATGTACGATAATGGGCGTTTTAAAGGTTGGAGTAGAAAATATTATATTATGTATCAAGTTTGATAAACGCCATTTTATACTCGAATTTAATTTAGGCACGAGCGAGCTTGCGTGCTTAAATTAATAAGTGTATAGAAAAGTTTATAAACGAGGTGCATACTATACTTTTTATACGACAAATACTTATTATCTTAAAATAATTTAAATCAAAAATTTGTATAGAGCGCCATCTATGAAACAATACGGGAATCTGTGTGTCACCGTCAAATGTCAATTTTTTTTATTTTATAAACACAATTACAAAGGTTATAAATAGAAATGTATTTCTTGAAAATTGACAGTTTTTCACACTGAAAGTAAAGAAGATGTTTTATGAGCACTTTACAGTGGAGTCCGTGCCCGAATTTAAGTTATACACTGAGAAAAAAGTTTATTGCTCCCAAATAAAAAAAATATTTAAATATGGGACAAGGGTACAGTTTATTTATCCTAAATATATTTTTATTCCCGATACATAAAGTTTTATTAAAGTATATTTATCGTTATTATTTCGACTATTTAGAGGTAATAAACAATATATTCACTATTAATAAAAGTATTAGCTACACAGTTTATTTGTCCCATTTTTTTCTCAGTGTAGTTTACTGCCGGCGAAATTAAAAGGTCCGTACAATGTTCATATAAACTTTTCAAATATTGGCGTTGAGAAACTATTTAATATTTTTGTATTGAGATAATAAAATAATTTTCACATTTAGTATTATTTTACAAGAAAGGCACTTTATTTTAACGATTGTATGACATTTGAAAACTGTCAACTAACTTAAAACTAACTTCATCCCGTGACTAAAAACCTGTTGCTAACTTCAGCCCGTGACTAAAGCGCCATAAAGCCACAACTTGTCAATGTGTATTTAATAGGTAACTTAGTGTCATGGAAACATGTACGATAAAGGGCGTTTTAAAGGTGGGAGTAGAAAAACATATTTATATTTTTTATTTTCTATTTTACATACATTTATTTTTAATTTCTTTTTGCGCTCATTCTAATATAACTTTTGATTTTCTAAGTTAGGAATCCTAACACAAGCATATGTATAACGTACTTATAGTTTAATCATTCACTCAACGGTTAATCATAGAAAACCCCAAAAGGCTGAAGGACCTATAGGTCAATGGCCTTTTGATTGTTGTAGGTATTTTTTTATATTTATAATAATCAATAAATAACTATTATTATTAATAATACAATAATGATACCAAACTGGTGGATTGCTATGTTAAATTAATTTTGTTTAAAATAAAGTTGGGCCGAAAATAAGTTGGGCAACGTCGCAACCAAACATTTTGACGTATAAAGTACGACGTTGCCACAGAAATTTTGATACCGCGAGATCAAAATGCACGCGCACATTTTCTAACACTCCGTCCCATTGGATTATGCTTTAGACATTTCGGTCTGCAAATCATGCAACAGAAAATTTATAAGAATTAACCAAAATTAAACTCGAATTTAGCAAAACCTTGTAAAAATCCCTAATATCCTGAAACATCTTACCACTCGGCAACACTGGTTAAAAGTTAGAACTCTGTATTACCAACAGTTTTAAAAGTTAAAAACCGTTTACGACGTTGTTTACATGTGTCAATTGGAGAAATGCTTTTTATTTATGATCTGTGTTTATGTGATTTAAATTGTTTCAAGGTTTCTTATCTTTACTAAAAAACGACAAAAAATGGACTACGATGCAGGGTAAAAACATTCTATATTTTGTGAGTTGCTTCTATATGAATAGTGCGTTTTAGATCTCCTGAAATGGACCCTGAAAGAAGGAAGAGTGTGGGGATTTTGAAAGCCCAAAAGCCTAGAAATCCTCTATCTGAGGTTGATTTAATTGAAACTGCTGATACAACAGTGGCAAGGACAAGAAGAGTTAGTTTTGCAGCTAGTAATTATGTTAAGTAGGTTGATAAAAAGATCATAGTTTTGTTAGTAATTATTAACATGGGTTTATTTACCCATGTCTCCAATGTGTGTAAATGAAATTAAATAGAATTTTTAAAAATTAGAGGAATAATGGAGGGAATAATATTGTCACTTAATTTATGAAGGAATTAAGGAATGTTTCTACATACTTATCGCCATTCAAAATTGTTGCTCACAAATAAAAAATATAAATTTGAAATCAGGGTTTGAAAAAATCATGATTAACAAACAAAAATCTATGATTTTCATTCAAAAAATCAACAAAAAATGATTTTTTTTATTTTTATTAGGTACAATTTTTTTAAATTATAAGCTTTTTTGAATAAAGTGTATTAAAAAAATACTAAAAATAACTTGACTAGGTATAATATTATATTGGCACTACTTTATAAACAAATAAACCACCATCTGCAACCGTCATATATTTTTTGTTTGTTTTTCTATGCATATGAATTTATTTAAATATTGTCAAGATATTATTGTTCTTTAGTTATAGATCTTTTAAGTGTTTTTTAGATTTTATAAACTTTTTAAATTGATTAAATCATTGATTAAAATAAAAAATCACTTGATTTAAATCATTGATTTAAATCAGGCAAACCCTGCTTGAAATGTAATTTTACCATACTATAACACTTAAATCATTTACAAGTTGTGAATATTTTATATCTTAAATTTTTATTTGTTTTAATTGCAATTTGGTTCTGCAAAAGCTCTTTGTTAATTATTATTACTAATTTTACCTTACTATAACACTTAAAGAATCATTTACAAGTTGTGAAAATTTTATATCTTAAATTTTTATTTGTTTTAATTGCAATTTGGTTCTGCAAAAGCTCTTTGTTAATTATTACTGCCAAGTCTTTACAAAGTTTACATTTTTAACATCCCAAATTATCCTTCCATAAATCTTGTGACACTGAAAGGGTGTAATTTTTTGGTAAATTGAATTGTCCACAAACAGGGACTTATTGCCTTAATATTGCAGTTCCAAAGATAAATGCGATTTTATTAAAGAAAAATTGTTAACAAGCCTAGGTATTTAAAAGTAAAAATAAAAATATGTTATACCTATAATTTTTTTGAAAATTTAGTTCTGCAAAAATGGTCCTTTTAAATTATCGCATAAATATTGTAGTTCCAGAGATATTGTCATTGTAATTTTTTAGCATAACTTATTTTAAAAAGTATTTTTTTACCTATACCCGTATAATTTGTTGGAAGATTTAATTGTCAACAAAAAATTTTGAACCAGAGATTATCTTGGAATTGTCATTTTTCTCTCAAAATTGACATATTTTTATATTTTAGTAAATTTATTATTATAGTATTCCAAAATTGACATATTTTTATATTTTAGTAAATTTATTATTGTAGTATTCCAGACATAATCGCGATTTTATTTCAAAATTGTCATTTTTATGACAAAACTGTCTTAATTAAAGGCGGGTTTATACAACAATTAATAATTTAGTGAACAATTTATTTCATAACTCAATTGTTAATTTAATGCATAATTTAATTATTAAATTATGCATTAAATTAACAATTGAGTTATGAAATACATTTATGTTTTATGTATTATACATAATACATAACTTTAAAATCTGGTTTATACAATTGATTAATTTAATATACTGTGTGTCCACCAAAGGACTTAATTATACTTGTAAAAATATATTTTTCAATTTTTCGAAAAAAAGTCACTGTTCATAATTTCTTCTGCTTGTTATATAAATTCGATTCGCGTTGAGAAACATCCATTTTGTTGTACAGGGTGAGCAAAAATACTGATTTTCAAAATTAAAAATTTTTAAATATATTTTTTTAAAGAGCTAATATAAAGAGCTGGTAAGGAGAAATTAAAAAGTCAAATGAAGTTTTTTCATGAGTTTTTAAAATTTTAACAAATAATTGTAGACGTTGTAGACATATGAGTTGAAAGCAACAACCTTGATTCATAATCTCAAAATGAGATAGCAGTCAATTTCTACAAAATAATAGGACCACTCAAGTTAGGACCTAAATTGATTTTATTTTTAATAACAAATATCTTAGTACCAACTACTCACATAAAAAAACTTTATTTGGCTTTTTGGTTTCTCCTTACAAGCTCTTCATATTAAACCTTAAAAAAAATATTTTAACAATTTTTAATTTTGTATTTTTTTTGCGCACCCTGTATAACAAAATAGAAATTTCTCATCGTAAATGGAATTTATATAACAAGCAGAAGAAATTATGAGGAGTTACTTTTCTTCGAAAAATTTAAAATAAATATTTTTACGTAGTATAGTTAAGTCCATCTGTGGACACACTATATATTTTATTTTTTCAAATGACATTGTCATTTGAATTTTTTCATTGTCATTATGACAATTTTAATAATTAAAAGTGACAAATAACACAAAAAATTAACTCATGTTTTGTAGGAACTTTGTAGTATTTTTTAAGGCACAAACACAAAAATTATTAATTATAACCTTAAAAAATGGAGAGAGAAAAATTGTTGGCACATGCGCTGTTCAATCTTATTTAAAATTCATAATTTATTTCATAAATTTTATGAACTTTCAAGATTATTTAATAAACACTAAATTGTGCCATAAGTAAAAAAAATCGTCCAATGTTTTCGGTAACTTCAATAAATTCCCCTACTCTCGAAAAATGAATAATCAAAAATTGCTAATTGTAAGTCAATTTTGACTAATCGTTATGGCAAAAACAGTCATTAATAATTAGTCAAATTGTACTGGATTAAATACGTCACCCTAATATAACAAGGTTGTATGTTAAAAAAAAAACGAAAAATTTAAGTCTATGTTTCTACAAGATTATATGTGGCCTACGCTTCACATACCACTTAAAAATAATTCTATAGAATGTATATTCTATGTATACATATATATAGAGTTATTTTCAAGTTGTATGTCAAGGGTGGATTACATAAAACCTTGTAGAAGCATAAACTCAAATGTTTCGGTTTTTTAACATACAACCTTAAGGTTATAACAATTGTTATATTAGGGTGACGAATAGTCAATTTGATGAAATGTTTGTATTATTTTTAAATTGATACATTTTTAGGCAATTCTCTGCTCATCCAGACACAGTAACTGCTTGGGATGACACTTATGAAGAAGAAATGAATCATACAGATTCTTCCAAGGAACAAATATCTCAAAACAAAACTGCCGACACTATGACGAGCAATTTAGGGGGGGCATTTATACCTTATGAAGAATCTGAACTGGTCGAAGTACAAATTAAAAAAAAGTCAATTGAAACTCCAAAAATATTTGTGTGCGATTACTCGGATAAAAAAGATATATTCAATATTTCCAATGATAAGGAACAAAAACCAATTTTTGACAAGGAAAATTTGAATCCCATAATTAATGATGCTTCAATTCTTACTTTTCCAAAAAAGAAATCCAAAATAAGTAATAAGGAAGATGCAAGTGTGGAAAAGAGTTTTTCAGTTTCACCAAATAATACTTTGGGAGCTATGGATATTTCTTCAAGTGAATTTGACCAAAATTTTACTATAACCGAGTTTAAAGTTTTTGATAACAATAAAATTCAAATTAAAGAGAATGAAGAAGATCAAACGAAGAATAGAAGAAAAACAATTATTTTTGAGCAGTCCACTGCTGATATGGAATTTACCAACCAATTTACTGTAAATGGAATAACTGGAGCAAACCTCAATATTCCAGTGGAAAATACTCAAAAAAAAACAATTTTAAATGATAAAAAAGAACCTGAAAAAAGAAAAACCATAATTTTTAACCAGTTTACAGATGATATGGAGTTTACCAGCCAACTTCCAGTTCCAAATAATTTTGGGGTAAATACATGGACTACCAACTTTGAAGCTACAAATGTTGTTAAAAAGAAACCTGAAAATAAAAGGACTGCAGGAAATATGGACATAACCAATTTTTGTGTCCAAGAAAATAATGAAATTATAGCGGAAAATAAGAAAAAAGATGAAAATAAAAGAAAAACCATAATTTTTAATCAGTCTGCAGATGATATGGAATTTACCAGCCAATTACCAAATGTTGGGGTAAATACCATAAACCCCAGTTTTTCAGAAAAAAGTGCAAAAATAGATAAAGAACCGGAAAAGAAAGAAAATAAAAAATATATGGTTAAAAAAGAACCTGAAAATAAAAGGAAAACAATCCTTTTTGAGCAGAGTGCAGGAAATATGGACATAACCAATTTTCCTGTCAAAGAAAATTATGAAATGAGCGAAACTATTTTAGTGGAAAATAAGAAAGAAGATGAAAATAAAAGAAAAACCATAATTTTCAACCAGTCTGCAAATGATATGGAATTTACAAGTCAATTTCCTTTAAAAGACAATTTTGGAGAAATAAAAACAAAAACCATTGTTTCAGAGGAAAATGCAATGTTGAATATTAAAAAAGATTCTGAAAATAAAAGAAAAACCATAATTTTTAACCAATCTGCAGATGATATGGAATTTACAAGTCAATTTCCTTTAAAAGACAATTTTGGAGAAATAAAAACAAAAACCATTGTTTCAGATGAAAATACAATGTTGAATATTAAAAAAGATTCTGAAAATAAAAGAAAAACTATAATTTTCAACCAGTCTGCAGATGATATGGAATTTACAAGTCAATTTCCTTTAAAAGACATTTTTGGAGAAATAAAAACAAAAACCATTGTTTCAGAGGAAAATGCAATGTTGAATATTAAAAAAGATTCTGAAAATAAAAGAAAAACCATAATTTTTAACCAATCTGCAGATGATATGGAATTTACAAGTCAATTTCCTTTAAAAGACAATTTTGGAGAAATAAAAACAAAAACCATTGTTTCAGATGAAAATACAATGTTGAATATTAAAAAAGATTCTGAAAATAAAAGAAAAACTATAATTTTCAACCAGTCTGTAGATGATATGGAATTTACAAGTCAATTTCCTTTAAAAGACAATTTTGGAATAATAAAAACAAAAACCATTGTTTCAGAGGAAAATGCAATGTTGAATATTAAAAAAGAATCTGAAAATAAAAGAAAAACCATAATTTTTAACCAATCTGCAGATGATATGGAATTTACAAGTCAATTTCCTTTAAAAGACAATTTTGGAGAAATAAAAACAAAAACCATTGTTTCAGATGAAAATACAATGTTAAATATTAAAAAAGATTCTGAAAATAAAAGAAAAACTATAATTTTCAACCAGTCTGCAGATGATATGGAATTTACAAGTCAATTTCCTTTAAAAGACAATATTGGAATAATAAAAACAAAAACCAATGTTTCAGAGGAAAATGCAATGTTGAATATTAAAAAAGATTCTGAAAATAAAAGAAAAACCATAATTTTTAACCAATCTGCAGATGATATGGAATTTACAAGTCAATTTCCTTTAAAAGACAATTTTGGAGAAATAAAAACAAAAACCATTGTTTCAGATGAAAATACAATGTTGAATATTAAAAAAGATTCTGAAAATAAAAGAAAAACTATAATTTTCAACCAGTCTGCAGATGATATGGAATTTACAAGTCAATTTCCTTTAAAAGACAATATTGGAATAATAAAAACAAAAACGATTGTTTCAGAGGAAAATGCAATGTTGAATATTAAAAAAGATTCTGAAAATAAAAGAAAAACCATAATTTTCAACCAGTCTGCAGATGATATGGAATTTACCAGGCAATTACCAAATTTTGGGGGTAAATACCATAAACCCCAGTTTTTCAGTAAAAAGTGCAAACATTGATAAAGAACTGGAAAATAAAAACGTAAATGTTGAAAAAGAAAACAAAAATATTGTTAAAAAAGAACCTGAAAATAAAAGGAAAACAATCCTTTTTGAGCAGAGTGCAGGAAATTTGGACATAACCAATTTTTCTGTCGAAGAAAATTCTGAAATAAGCCAAAATATTGTGAAAAATAAGAACCAAGATGAAAATAAAGGAAAAACCGTAATTTTTAACCAGTCTGCAGATGTTACGGAATTTACAGGCCGCAGTTTTTCACTAAAAAATGAAACTTATGTGAAAGAAAAACCCGAAAGTAAAAGAAAAACAATTCTTTTTAATCAGTCCTGTGCAGATATGGGCGTGACCAATTTGTTAGTTGAAGAAAATTGTGAAGTTGAGGATATACTCACTGGTGTTTCAGTGGAAAATGAAAACGTTAAAGATCATAAAAATAAAAGAAAAACCATCCTCTTTAGCCAGTCCACAGATGATCTGGAATTTACCAGCCAATTTCCTATTACAGGCAATTTGGAATTTAATAGTGAAAATGTAGTTGAACAACAACCTGAAATTAGAAGAAAAACATTTATTATTGATCAGCTCACTAATAGTATGGACACAACTAATTTTTCAATTAAAGGGGATTGTAAAATGGACAAAATAAGCCCCAGTATTTTGGCGGAAAATAAAAAAGTTGAAAAAGAACAAGAAATTAACAAATCCACAGGTAATATGGAATTACCCAGCCAATTGCCTGTTTTTAAAGAAACTTGTGGAATAAATAATTTCACAATCATTAGAGAAAAACACAAACAATTAAATGCAGAGAGCCCCAAAATTGCCGGCAAAAGAAAAAAAAATAATGTTGAAGGAAAATATTTAATGAAAGAATTGGATTTGGAAAGTGAAGCAACTAAAACATGTGATATTTTGAACAAATTTCCAGAGTTAAAAATTTCAATAAATCAGGAAAATACTTCAACTTTAAAAAATCCATTAGGAGATAAAATTGAAAGTTCATCCAGTATTCCACACAAACTTACATTAAAAGAAAACGCAACTTCTATAGATGATATGTGTAACATATATACCTCTACAACTAATTTTAATAATATTTTAAGCAATAAAAATTATATTTCACCTCCAAATGAAAACCACAGTCAACTTGAAATATCTTGCATTAAAATTAGCAATGAAAATTCATCAAAAAAAAACATTGCTAAAGAAGAACCTGAAAGTAAAACAAAAACAATCCTATTTGACCATCAAACAGAAAATAATTTACCAGTCAAAGAAAATTGTACAGCAGCTAAAATAAGCAACAGTTCAGTGAAAAATATTTCAGGAGAAAATATATTTAGCAACAAAAAGGAACCAAAAAACGAAACAGAGATCAGTTTTAATGTTGATGAAAGTTTGGTAATAAAAGACAGTATTAAAAAACCTGTAATTTTCGTCCAGTCCGTAGAATATATGGACACGTCCAGTTTTCCAGCTGAAGAAAAAGTTCCCAAAGAAACTTGTGGAATAAATATTTTCGAAAATACTGCAACTTCAGTAAATCACAAACAAACTTCAACATTAAAAGAACCTTTGATGGATAAAATTGTAAATTTGGTAGAAATTAGTGTTTCACCAAAACCAACATTTAAAGGAGACGCAACATCCATAGATGATCAATTTAATATATATACATCCACCGCTAATTTCAATAATATTTTGAGTAACAAAAATTATATTTCACCTTCGGTATATCAAAACCAACCCGAAATATCCTGCATCCAAATAATGGATTCACCTATTAATGAAGCATCCATGAGTCAACAACATTTTAACAAAGCTGCAATACCTTTACAACCTTCCAAACTGTCCAGTTTCGAATATGCCGATAATTTTCTGCAATCTTTCGACGGTAAAAATAACGCGAACACGTCAGAGTTGAAGTCTCCTTTACGGTCGATTTTCAAAATGTCCTCCAATAACACGAGCATCGAGGACACCCAACATTTGATAAATTTGAGGATATCGGATCCGAATCCCGAAGAATCCAGCGAGCTTGGAACATCGAGCAACCTCGAAACCGATTTGATCAGGTTTTTGCGAGAAAACCTGGTCAAGTACACCTTGATAGATCATAGCCCGTTAGTGGCGGAAAGACTTGAGCGCAAGAGGAAAATTGAGGAGTTCAGATTGTCTATAAAGAACATAAAGGAATCGGAAATACTAAAAGTTCCCGATATCGAAGAAAGCTCTGATGACGAAGAAGATTCATGCGAACGTCTTGAAATCCCTGTTAAAAAAGAAGAAGATACAGACGATACGGAGAAGCCCAAAACCACTGCCGACAAAATCAAGGAAATTGAGAACACATGCGAATCACATTGCCAGTTTGAAAAGAAAATAGACGACTACAAATACGTCTTCTCCTCTTTTAATCAAGCACTGTCAATGCTGCTGGAGTTTGATGATAATTTTTACATTAGTGATATAAAAACAAAAATTAACTTGGCGGACAATTCGAATCCTATTTGTTTTTATATTTTGAGGATGTTTTGTGAAAAGCTCAAAAAGGAAAACCTGTTGATTACGCTTGGTTCCAACAAATACGTTTTAAAAACTTTGCTTGATTATGTTGACATTACAGCAATTGAACTTTTGGGTATGCACAAATATTTACGGCATCTAACTGGTAAATGTTTGGAAATATCAGAAGATGGAAACAGATTTACCTTTCAAGTACTGGAAAGTGAAGCCCTACTATTTTGGGAAATACATCTGGACATGTCAAACGTAAATTGTGTGAATTACGAAAATATTAGGGCTATAAGTAAATGTAAGCAACCTATTAACGAGGATTACATTAAAGAACTTTGCAAAAGTTGCCCAAAAGGTTTAAATTTTTTCAAAGATTTTTTATCAAGACTTGATGAATATGTAAATACATTTTGTGAAAGAATTTTAATGAGACGAAATCGTTCAAAACGTGAATTACAGCATTAAATATTTTGTACATTTTTTGCTGGCTATAGCTTCTCTTATGATTTTGACTTCCTATTTTCTTGTGAAGATTTATATTTATGAATTATTATATTATTTATGTTTTATTTTGTTTAAAAGATGAAAAATATATCCTATAATATCTAGGTACCTACTCTTTTATTTACAAAACTATATTGTCCACACAATTTATAAAAAAACTTGGTATACTAGTAGTAAAAGTTAATGTTTATGGTAAATAGTATAATACTAAGTTTTTAAGTTATTATTTTTATGTTGAAAAAAATAAAAATTACTGAATTAACTTGCAATTTCAAGTTTTAAATGAAGAAATTCTTTTAGATAGGCATAATTTAAATTGTGGACAAAGTAAACGGATTAATTTTTTAGGGATGAAGTTTACATTATGTAGAAATAAGGGTTTTATTAAACATTTTAAAGTTTTTATAAAAAAAAATATTTAATAAGGATTGTATGAAATGCAATTAAAATAAATAGCAGTTTTACAAATTTTTTAAGTATATTTAATAATTTAACATTAAGAGCATTGAGTAAGATTCCTTAGTCAATGTTTAGATGTTATATATTTGTCATCCGGGTTGCCTACCTACACTCGAACAAACATGTTCATGATAGTAGATACCTGTAAACAGTGTCACTTAAATGTCATCTTTCATAGATAACCTTCTTGGTCTCTGCATAGATGTCGTTTTATTATTTAGTGTAAAAGATAAAAAATCCCGTTAAAAACAAGGCGAAATGTTAATTTTCTCCGATTTTCTGTCTATGATTCCATATTAGATCGTGGCGAGAATAAGTAAAGTCGTACTCGTCGAAAATTGGTTGTCAAGGCTGAATACTTTTCACGTCACAATTAATTTTTCGGTGTCGTGGGAAAGTAAGAGTGACGTCACGCGAGTGATTAAAATATGGGCTTTCACAATAAAGGCAAGTGCGAAAAGTAATGTGCTAAAATTAATGTTGTGATAAATATGTTACACATGACCTCTATTAAATTATTTTGCCTGTGAACAAAAGCCTTAATGTGATATTTAGTTTTATCAAGCAAAACAGTAACAAATACCTACTTTATAATAATCTATCTTTAAATATGGGACTGTTGTTTGCGAAACTTTGGAGTTTATTCGGAAACGAAGGTAAGTCAGTTTATAATTTTTTTAGGTTATGACTTTTATTCGGTTGACATTGCAGAACAGTTTTTAAAACAATTTAAATACAATAAAGGAACTTACCATACCATACAATACACTGGGGTGTATTGTATTAAGACCATTCTTTACATTTTGAAAATAAAGAAATAAAAAGAAGTTAAAATGTCATAAATAATAAAAACATTCCTTGAAATAATTGTGAGGTTAAAATGTAGGCCTTAATTTCAGAACACAAAATTGTGATTGTGGGGCTGGACAATGCTGGAAAAACGACCATCCTATACCAGTTTTTAATGAACGAAGTGGTCCACACAAGTCCAACAATAGGGTCAAATGTCGAGGAGGTTGTGTGGAGAAATATACACTTTTTAATGTGGGATTTAGGTGGTCAACAAAGTCTTCGAGCAGCTTGGAGTACTTATTATACCAATACTGAAGTGAGTAATACTTTTTTATTGTTTTTAAGATAAAAAGCATGACTTGTTATATTTGTTTTAAAAATAATTAGCAATAGAAATACAACTTGCTGTTAAATGGGTTTAATAATAGGCTTGTTTATTTACATTTTTTTTTGGAAGTATATTGAAACAACCAATAGGTAAATATTGTTTTATTTCTTAATAAAACAATAAATATTTTTTAAGATTGTTTAAACAAATTTAATACAAATTTGTATTTTTAAAATTAACAAACCTCATAGAGAAATATTAAATGGAAAGATAATATTTAACTTCAAATTCATTCATCAGTCAAATTAATAGGAAACATAATAACATTATTAATATAAATAAGAAAATTGGGGCTTAATTTTATTGTAAAAATCTTATGATAAACCATACAGTAAAATTTATTTTTTATCTATAAAGAGATTATATTTTTAAATTATGTATGGCAAGTCTATGTGTGTAAAAAAAATAAACAAATGATACTTCATAGATAAATGTTTTATCAAACTGAATTCTTAAAATTTTTATAGAATTCCAAGAATCATTTCTTGATAATAACACAAATATAATGATTAATAAAAAAAGAATGCAAATTTAGTAAGTAACACCTCATTTTAGTTAAATAAAGCTTGGTCCATAAATCTCCTGACACTAAAAATAATCAAAAACTTAAGCTGACCAAAAACGGAACAAATAAGCAATTTTATTTAATTTACTTTGTCACATGATGTTTTAATTTTGCTACCTAAAAGTTCATATTAAAATTATGATTAAAATCATTGATAAATTTACATATGTGCTTATTTTGGTATATTTTACTTCCTTCATTACAATATTTTAAACCAAACATTTACAGTTTTTACAAACATTCCTCAATCTATTTTTAAAACTAATTTATTTTTGTGTCAAAATTATAATAATTTATATTTTTGAAGCCTTTGTTTTGGCCTATGTCCAATGCTACAAAATTAATTAGTTCATGTTTTTAATATGATATAGTTGGATTAAATTACAACTCTCTAAACCGCAGAATATTTTCGATAAACCAATCTAAAGAAAACAAAGAATTTAATAGAGATAAAAGGGTTTTCACCTGCTGATTGAACATAAAACAGTTAAGGATGGATGTGCTTTATCAATCAGCTTTAATTTGTTTTGTTTAACGTTTTTAGAACTAAAATTAACATTTTTAAACAGTTATTGAACTAAATAACCGATTGTGCTTTATTAAACCAAATAATTTAAAAAAAATTGCTAAGATTATACATTATTTATTATTTTTAAATCATTTGACCACAAAGTGTGATAAATAATTTTTAAGTAAGTAATAATAAAAATGATATAATATGAATAATATGACCATAAAGCGCAATTAACAAAAACGAAATAATTGCTATTCAAGCAATGACAATTTTTTTAAATAACTTAAGAGGAAGAATTTTACAGTCAGCATTCTCTGTATAGATACAGTCTCATACATGTGTTAAGTTATTTGCGCTTTAAAATTATTTTAAGCGGTTTTTATTTAAATTTTACAACATCGCTGATCTTGGGAATTATTATCTTTAATTTTATGCAATAAATTTTGTTTAATATTCGTCTACCTATAAATTTTAGATTTTATGGGAACTATTTCTCGTTTTTATAGGTAATGTGTTATAAGACCTTGTACATTTAAAATGTAACATTTACTTTCATTTTAAAAATTAATTTACTTTAAATACATTCACAAAGTTTTAAAAAGAGGAAAGAATTATTAAAGTTTCTATCGTTTATTATTGCTAGATAATAAATAAAATGACAAAGTAAATTTAAATTCGTACTGATTATACATAACTGATTTTATTCAGTTTTATTGTTTTACAAAATAAATATAATTATTTGTTTAATATTAATATTATAAAATACAAAATAAAAATAATTAAAATAAAAGTTAAATAGTGTTTAATTTTTTTAATTTTTAATAAATATTTCCGTATTATTGAGAAATGCATAATTATTTCTGAACACAAGTTTCTTTCCAGTCGTTTTCTTAATTGCACATATTTAAAAGTTACAAACTGAATAAGTATTTTTAGATTTCCTTGACTACTCATTGGATTATAAGTACATTCCATTATACTTAAAATTTTCGTTAAATATGAATATAAACAGTTTAAAAAAATAATTGTTTTGTATTTAAAAATCTGTTTTAAATTATTTTTAAAGAAGTTCTTATTATTAACTAATATTTAGTAACAGTTTAAAAATTAATAAATTAATTAAAAAAGTCATCGAAAAAATATTGACAACGTTTAGGTACCACTGAGGTGCCAAATATTTATTAGATTAATATATAATCTAAAATCTGCAATTTATTTAGTGAATAATATTTTCATTTTTGGTGTAAACAGCTGACGGATCATAGCAGCATTCGGTTTTTAAGAGGATGGAATAATTCGACACGTTATTATTAAGTTAATTTACTTTTAACAGTAAAGTCTAATGTGTAAAATTGTTTATTGGGATGGTTACTTTATTTTCGTATAGATGACGCTTCATAAAAATATTTAATTTTTGGATTCAGTCCGATTTTTTTACAATAAAACGACTTTCTCTTTTAGTTTGTGATAGTTGTAATTGATTCCACGGACAGAGAGCGTCTGTCGATAATCAGGGAGGAAATCTACAAGATGTTGACCAATGAGGAGCTGTCAAAGGCCGGTGTTTTGGTCTACGCCAATAAACAAGACGTCAAAGGTTCTATGACAGCCTCGGAAATATCGAAGGAACTCGACTTGACGTCGATAAAGAAACAACAGTGGCACATACAGTCGTGTTGTGCGTTAACAGGAGAAGGGTAAGAAAATTAGTTTTAGTTTGTATGAAAACGATTTATTGTTTAGCACGTTCTTCAGGTAGGTACTTATTATAATATAAGGTTTGTTAAGAATGCAGAGTATAATAAAATGTGGATATAATGCTTCATAGTTTATGATAAGTCGTATTATTTTTATTCCTAGAAAACATTGTTACCTGGAAATTTGAAGAATGACATTTTATACCTACAATTTTTTTACTTTCAAGATTTTCACAGAACATTGTTTTATTAAGGGTACAGTGACTGGCAAAAGTATGGAACTAATAAAATTCTTTCTCAAATTATTTCATTTCAAGGTCTAACTTTTTCAGTTTATTATTGTTTTTCGTTATTCTACAAATAGTAAGTGTTGATATATGGAAGTTTTTAATTCTACATTTCTTTGTTAGCATATAATTTAAAGCAAATATACTAGATTAAACACTTTTAGTTGAGTATAAAACACGACAAAAAATATTGTAAATGTTTGAGTCCATAATATTAATATTAAGAGGTCTATCATGGCAATTTTAATTTTTCTTTCCTAAGCTATTTTTGTCTCAGAACTCCCAAACCATTGAGTTTAACAAAATTGACTCTAAGATATTTTTTAAGGAAATTGAATGCTCTACCAAAAAGGTCTAATTAAATTTTTCCGTCAGATGAACCGTTTCCTTAAAATCATGCCTTAAAAATTGGTATACTTTTACAATTTGATCTTATTACTTTGGAATTTTGTAATTCATGTAAAAATCAATACCCTGAAAAATATATTCTTATGGGAAATCAAATGCTCTACAAAAAAAGTTTCATAACATTTTTGGCTAAATTCACTCAATCAAAAGTTATTCAAGGTTGAAGTTGAAGTCAAAACGAATTTCTTGGTTTTTTTTCCTAGATTTATTTTTTTATGGATCATAATTTGATTTTTTTTATAAATGTGTACTATATAACTAATTAACAATTTCCAATAAAAAAACAACATGATTGTTATTATTTAAACGGTTAAAATGAAAATGATATTTTCGAAGGAAAATAGCTTCTTTAAGCGAAAAAATGTGTATTTTTTTTAATTTTCATTAATTTTATTAATAACATAAAGATTATCATCGATAAAAGAATTCACGTTTTTAACTGACCCAAAAAAATCATCTACAGCAGTAAAAACAAGAATTTTGTTTTGACTTCAACCTTAACCTGAATAACTTTTGATAGAGTGAATTTAGCAAAAAATGTTAAGAGACTTTTTTTTGTAGAGCATTTGATTTTCTATATCTATCGGTTTTTTTCTGGGTACTGATTTTTACATGAATTACAAAATTCATGTACCAATTGTTGTACATTTGTACCAATGTTTAAGGCATGATTGTAAGGAAACGTTTCATCTGACGGAAAATTTCAATCAGATCTTTTTTGTAGTCATTCAATTTTCTTCAAAAGTCAATTTTGTTAAACTCAATGGTTTGGGAGTTCTGAGACAAAAACTCGCTCAGGAAACAAATCTAAAATTGCGATGATAGACCTCTTAATATTAATATTATGGTTACTTAAATGGTATAAATTGTTTTATTCACATGCGGGTACATTTTGTGGTTGTTTATTTTTGAAACGTATTCTTAATATAAATTATACACTTGTCACAACTGAAGCATGAAAAATTACATAATGACTTTCTAAACTTTATTTATTTAGTAAATTTTGTTCCGTTTCCTAATCGTTGGAAAACTTGCGATACATTTATTGTTGCTTAATGATTAAAATTCTTGCGTTTGTTGAATACAATTTATATTCAAATTTGAATACAACAATAAAACAATATTATTTCTTTTTAGATTATATCAGGGATTGGAGTGGATAGTGAGTAGACTGAAAAAGAAATGACAACTTTAAAACACTGTAAGATATTTATAAAAAAAATAATAAATAAAGAACATTTTAACATAACGGTTTCTCACATTGAGAACAATGCAACTTCCTTCCAAGATGAAAGAGAAATTTTCTCTCAATATTGCAGACTTTAAAGACAACATCATTTGTTACATTTCAGGTTCATTTTTGTATATAAACTATATTTAAATTGTTAATTAAGTTTTTGTTTCTCTGGATTAAGAATATTTTTTTATTTAAGGCTAAAATGTAATATAAAATACTAATAAATTGTATATAAATAAAATTACTTTTGGAATTTCATTTAAGTCTTGCCTATAGGCAACCCACATAACTCAATATTACAAAATGAGTTCATGACCTTAGGTATCCATTTAATATTATTACAGTCTTACTAAAGTGTTGTGCTGACATTGGAAATAATTAAAATGAGGGAAACATTGATAAACAATAAACCGTCGTTTAAAATTACTGAAGTTGAGTATGATGTCCCAGACCAAAAATTAATTACAGACGTGATGAAGGGCAGGGGCGTATCAGTGGAATTGTGCCCAAACGAAAATTTGGATTTTGTAAAGTTGAAAGAAGGAAATTTTAAATTTGTATCAGTGACCTGGTTTAGGCCCAGCAGTGAAGCTCTGAAAAATCCTGAAAATATTCCTGCCATTGGTTTGGCCAAAAAATTAATTTCTGAAGGATATCATGTGCTACTCCATTTAACAGGGAGAAATTTAAGTAAAGGGGAAGCAATAAATGTTTTGAATTGTGTTGAGAGTTTGGGGATCAGAAATATTTTGGCACTGCAAGGAGGTAGGTTAATAATATTCTATTTTATATTTTAAAAATGATTTTGTTTAATTTTTTTGACAGAAAATAAGGTTTGAAACACATTAGATAAAATATTCATAAGAGTTGATAAGAAAAAATAAATATTATTAGTTTCTCCTAATCAGCTCTTATTAAAATGTTATCTTATGTTTTAAACCCAATTTTCTCTACAAAACAATTAAAATATAAAATCAACAAGAGTTATTCAGCAAAAATGCCGAGTTTGTTAAACAATAAACGTAGAATTATAATATAAATTATTAAAAATATAAGTGAGGTCAGATGTTGTTAATGACCGATTAATTCCTGTAGAAAAAATGTGTAATGTTTAGGGACGATGGCGTAAGAATGTCACAGCGGACAAAATAAAAAAATTTGGCATAAACAATATCGACTTCGACCATGCCTACAAACATCCTTTGCAAGAAAGACAAAAAAATGATTATAGCCGAGTAATACACCTATCCCGTTCATCCTTGTCCGGATAGCGCGTGCGCAAAATTACCACCTCTTAAATATTACCCCTTAAATATTGGGGGATTTTTACTTTATGTTACCTGCACTGTGTTTAAATGACAGACGTCAATCCAAAATTAATTATTATTGTTTTGTATTTTGATACTGTTTATACTAAAAAATGTGGCAAAAAAAGATATCTTGTCTTAAACAATTTGATTTTGATGAGGCCAAGCAATTTTTTGCTAGACATGGTGCTACGCAACAACACCATACCCGAGCATATAAGTTTTTCGTTGAAGGATTCCTCCATGATATTTGGATTAACGAAAGTGAACTTTCCATTAAAGCAAGGTGTTATCATTCCCAAAAACGAAATGAAAAACCCCATAGCCTTTATTTTGTTTTTAAATCTGGAAATGAAGAGCAACTGTGTCTACAAGAGTGTCACTGTTCATGTGAAGTTGGGTAAGTCTAATATTTGATATAATAATACTAGCATAGTTTAACAAAGATACTAGTTAATATTTAATTTTTATTTAATGTAATAATACTAGTTATAGGATTTGTTGTTTTGAATCTTATACTTAATATTTTTTTTTATTTTAGGTTATCACAGTCTTGTCACCATTTAATAAGCTTAGCATATTATTTGCAAGATAAGCTATTAAGAGAAGAAGATGAAGTTTTAGATGTTGCCAGCACATCGAAACCAATGGAGTGGAACAAACCTAGGGGTACAAAAATTCTGCCTCAAAGTATTGTCAATGCAGTTTTTCATAAACCTACAAAGATAAATCGAAAGAAAAGGCCAATAATGTCAACTTTTTTAACCCCTGATTCTTTATTAAAAGAAAATGAGTTAAATAAAATAAAAATGGAAACAATGAAGAAAGGATTAAGAAAAATTAATAAAAAAATTCCATTTTCTTACCTTATAAATGATAGAAACCAAGGTAATTTACATTTGCACCTTATTTAATATTTTAGAAAATCCTTTTATGTTAATAAATATATAATTATTATTCTTTATTTTTTAGATGAAAGTATGACAACAATGGCAATGCAGAATTTTAATACTTTGCAACAAAACCATCAGGTAGAAGTACTGCCCATATCGTTGCCTGTTTTGGACATGGAATGCATAAATATTTTAATTTCTATGCCAATGCCAAGGGAGGATACATTTTTTAATGTTGATTTTGAAGATGCCAAAAATATTGAAATTTTAACTAGGCCACAAAGTGACTCTAAGGAATGGAAAGAATACAGAAAAGGGAGGCTAACTGCCTCAAATTTTGGGTCTTTATGCAAAAGAAATAAGCCATTTGAGTTTAGTTATTTTAATAGCATTTGGGAAGCTCAAGACTTGGGACATGTTAAAGCAGTTCAGCATGGAAAAAATCATGAAACAAATGCAAGAATATTATATGAACAGAAAACTAAAAACGTTGTCTGTCTTTGTGGTTTGATTGTTCATCCTTATGCTCCATATTTGGGTGCCAGTCCAGATGGAATAATAAAAAGAGGAAATGAATATGGGATTTTGGAAATAAAATGTCCATTTAGTAAAAAAAATTGAAATTTAAAAGAAGCTTTAAAATCAAAAACTTTTTTTTTGAAAGAAGATGAGAATAAGAGACTATTTTTAAAAGAAAACCATAATTATTATTATCAAGTTCAGGGACAAATGTTAATTACAGGAATAAAGTGGTGCGATCTGGCTGTTTATTTTAAAGAAGAAAACGAGATTGTAATTGTAAAAGTTGAATTTGATCAAAATTTTTGTTATAAAATGTTCGAAAAATTAACCAATATTTATAATATATATCTAAGCTTTTACTACGTTTTTTATTGATATAATTTAATTTTCAGGTAATTTTTTTATTTTTATAGACAATTTTACCTTAAATTTTGTAAAATTAAATCTTACCTAAATTAAACTTGTTTGAGGTAGGTATAAAATTAAGCAAAGTTAAGTAAAAAATAAAGGTAATGCTTAGACCAAAAAATGGGAAGGATATATGAGGTATAATCTCCATTTATAACTAAATTTTCTACCTGTAGGTATTTGATTTTGTTTATTTTTAACTATAAAATTATACTAAATTTTAAGTCAAAATATTTCTTTACAACATAGAAATTATAGTTATAGTTAAAGAGATTCAAGTTTTGGAGGTTTGAGTGCATAATTATATTTTTATTAAAATACCTAACCATTGACTTCTGATTTTTTTTAAATAAATTATTAAAAATTAAAGCTGGGTTGTTTTAGTAAATTTATAAATTTCAACAAAAAACTTTATTTTTTTAACTCGTGCATAAAATTTGTAAGCAAAGCACAAACTGTACAAATTTGGTTAACACTCCCCATAAGTGCAATGGGTATTTTGTGGGATAAAATTTTAAAAGTTTTTATCCTTCTTATAGCCCGTTCTACATGGATCCTCTCTCTTGCTATGTGTCGTATATATTCAATTTGGTTGGGTTCATACTGTATTCCTGATATTCGGAATGTTGGTATATTTAAGCATATTCCAGCATCTTCTAAAATATTTTTAATCTCAAACCCCTTATCTGCCAAAATAATATCACCTCTTTCCAATTCTCCAATTTCTACTTTTTTTTTTAAAAGATTAAGAAACCCACTTTCTTCAACAATTTTTTTATCTGATATAGATCCTAAAAAAACTCCAAATAATATATGAATTTTAAATTAATAATTTAGGTATGTTACCAGTAAATAGTGCTGAAATAAAAATTATAGCACCACTGGGGCTTATCATTATGAGGGCTTTTAAAGTAGTGGATCCTTTATACTGGGAGTAGCATTGTGACTGCTTTATTAAGGATGATGGAGTTTCTATAAAAAACTCAGTGCAGTCTATACTGCCTATAACTTTGGGATATTTATTTTTAAAAACCATAGAGGCATGCTCCAAAATTATGTCTCTATGGGGAAATATATTTAACCCAGCCAGTTTAATATATAATAAATTTATCCACGCAAGGCAGATTCTCCCCACTGTGGATTTGGATACTTGAAACATATCACTTAATAATTCATAATCTATTCCTCGTCTCAATTTTATTAATGTAAGAAAAACTCATTCATTGAAGAAAGCTTATGTTTTTGATTCCATTTTCCTTTTTTTCTTCTCTGAACTTGTTTCGTAAATATAAATTTATATAATATAACTACTATTTTGTAGCTTGGAAGCCCTGTATAATACAAAATCTTTCTGTCATTATTTTTAAAATTTTCAATAAAAAATCTTGAATTTAGACCATTTTTAGGTAGCCGCAACTTTTTTCTTCTTATAATAAATGCTGGTGTCTTAGCACTTTCTTCTAAATTTGGTACAATACTTTCATCTTCTACTATATTTTCATTCTGAGGTAAATTTAAAGTGGGAATTGTCGTTGGCTTTAATTTCACTTTAGTTGAGAAATCAAACAAATCATTTTCTTCAAAATGTAACCAGCATACCTAAAAATAGTAAATAAGTATATTATAATTGTTATCTGGTATTATATAGTGTATTATTAAGCTATTAAGTTAAATAATTACCTTGGTGCTATCCGTAATTTTTTCTGGGCTTATTTTTAATGATTCTATCCATAATTTCCTTAGCTGAACATTTTTAGGGATTGAAAAAAACTTTCCACTTTTAATATTAACCAAGAAATTTCGGCAGGAATGTATACAGCAACGCATTTTTCAAAATTAGTCATAAAATAAATAAAAACTTAACCTCACTTTTTGGATTTTATACAAGGGTTTTTATTCATTCATTCATCATGTTGGTAAAACTGAATTGTGACTGAATTAAGGGGAAATATTGAAAAAAAGGGAATTGCCGCGCTTTTTCGCGCATGAGCTCTCTGAAAAATCTATTATATGGGATAGGTGTATTTTATTTATTTTATATTACTTTTTTGTAGAGATGGGAATCGGAAAGTTTCCATTTTAAGGAAACTTTCCGTTTTGGAAAG